TCAACCTCCCCTCCAGTCATCGCCCCATTAGCCTCCTCAAGGCCATGGGCAAGCTCTTCGAAAGAGTCATCCAAACTCGCATGAGGCGCCATCTGTTTCCCACAGACGGTGACCCTCTTATCATTCCCCATCAATTCGGTTTCCGAGCGAAACACTCATGCCCCCAACAAGTTTACCGTATTGTGGAATATATCCTCAGCGGTTTTTATCCTCGTCGTCATAAGACCATCGCGGTCTTTTTTGACATAGCTAAAGCCTTTGATAGAGTTTGGCATACAGGCCTTATCTACAAGTTATACAAAATAGTTCTCCCCGATTGTTTAGTACGTCTCGTGGCCTCTTATCTAAAGCATCGTACCTTTCGTTTTAGACACGATGGCACGTTATCTTCACAGCGCTCTATCAAAGGTGTCCATCAGGGCTCAGTACTTGCTCCTCTGCTGTACATCCTGTTCACCAACGACATTCCCATCCCGTCGAAAGGTGTTCAGCTGTCCCTCTTCGCAGACGACACTGTTATCTACTGTAAAGGTATCTCACTACCTTTCATACGGAACAAGGTTCAAAAGTCAGTTGACGACCTAGGAGCTTGGTTCATAAAATGGCGCATCGATGTGAACCCGGAGAAGAGCTCCGCCGTTCACTTCGATTATAAACAACGCCGTCTCAAAAACACTCCACCAATACGTATGCTAGGGATCCCTGTCCCCAGGGGACGTACGGACATCCCTCACGTACATACGTGTGGTAAATATTGAGGTGTCACTCTAGACACAAGTCTCACTTTCAGGCCCCACGTCAAAAGAGTAACCCGTCACGCACGTTTTTACCTGAGTAGGCTCAACAGTATGTTGGGCCGACACAGTAAAATGCCCCGCAGAAACAAGCGTACCCTTTATAAGGTCTGTATACTACCAGTCATGTCCTACGCGGGCCCCATTTTTGCCCACGCCGATCCTAAAATTATTAATGAACTCCAAATAGTTCAAAATCTTTTCTGTCGGAGCTGCAAAGAGGTATCCGTAATGCCGACCTTCATCGGGACCTAGAGCTCCCTACAATTCAACAATTTCTTAAAAAACTCTCTGAGAACTTCTTCAAAGCCTCAGAGTCGCACTTCAATCATCTTATTCGTGAGGCAGCTACTTATGCAGCCCCACCCCCCTCTCGCTATCGAGTCCGCAGCCCGTGAAACTCTCACTCGGACCCGCCTAATATTTTTAGAGGGTATCACTTAGGTTCCCCCCGGTAGGCAGTGAGTCCCTCATAACCACGATAGACCGGCTATCGTGGTATTCGTAATGCATTTTCCGCCTCCCTACATAAAGGGTAGCCCTTTCCAATTGCTTCGGGCGCAAAAAAAAAGAACATTGGTTTTAAGTGCGAATTTAGACAAGATATTTTGGGTTGATGGTGTTTTAATATCTACATATTTAATTAATACATTACCCACAAAAGCGCTTATTAATAAAACACCATATGAGATGTTGCATGGTAAAAAGCCAAAAATTAATAATTTTAATAATATTTGGCTCAACTGCTTACGTGGACGACAAAACAATGAAAGGTAAATTTGATGAAAAATGCTTTAAATCCATATTAGTAGGATATAGCTCAAATGGATATAAATTGTTTAATGTTGAAAATAATCATTTTTTTATAGCCAGAGATGTTTTGTTTGAAAATTAGATTTACAAAACTCTATATATTATATATTATGAAATTCCCGTTAAAATTAATAAGCCTGACAATCATTTGGCAAAATCAATGGGCAACAAACACAATCATTACATAAAAGATACATTAAAACCAGAAACGCAATTGAGTAATTTAAGTACCCCCTAAGAATTATAAAGAAATGTCTATACCTTAAAATTATAAATATGTTTTTAATAGACATGATTTAAAAGCCGTGTAATGTGAAATTCAATCATTACGTATAAACAAAACTTGGAGTATTGTTGAGAAGCCCAAAGATTGCAATATCATAAGTTCTAATTGGGTTTTTACAATAAAGAACGAATCAGGTGAACTAGTGCTATATAAGGCTCGTCTAGTTGCTCGTGGTTTTTCTCAACAATACCTACAAGATTATGACGAAACGTTTGCACCTGTGGCGCGAATAACGACTTTCAGATTTATTTTGACATTCACCAATTAATTTAGTTTGTATATTCACCATATGGATGTGAAGCCCGCGTTCTTGAACGGCGTACTTAAAGAGGACATATATGTGGAAGTGCCAGAAGGGATTTCAGTTAAAGATAATCAAGTGCGTAAATTAAATAAAACTCTATATGGCTTAAAATAGTAATCAAGATGTTGGTTTAAACGTTTCGATCATATTCTTAAAGATATAGGTTTTAGAATTCCGGAGTTGACCCATGTTTATATTTATTAAATAAAAATTCTATTGATGAAAATATATACATTGTTCTGTATGTAGATGATTTAATCGTTGTTACCAAAAATACGCATACTTTAAAGTTTTATAAAATTATTTAATGCAAAAATTTGAAATGACTGATCTAAATAAAATAATAATGTTTCTAGGAATAAGAATTAAGAGAAATTGAGCATACAATAACTTTAGATCAAACTATGTATCTTAAAAATGTTTTAAACAAATTTTCCATGAGTGAATGTATCTCTACTAACTCGCCTTTACCATCCTAACTTAACTATTCGGACCTGAACTCTGATAACAATTATGATGCACCATGTAGAAATGTTATTGGGTGCCTAATATATGCGATGCTTTGCACGCAACCAGACATTTATACAGCCATAAGCATATTAAGTAGATACCAGAGTAAAAATATTGAGTTTTTATGGAGATGTTTAAAATATCTTTTAAGATACATAAAAGGAACTTTACATTTAAAATTAACGTATAAAATATGTAACTAATCAAATGGTTATTGGATATGATATGATGCAGACTGATTGGGGAGGCAATGAAACGGATAGAAAGAGGACAACCGGATATTTGTTTAAAGTACTGTTTCATGAAACACACGAAAGCAAAATACTGTCGCCGTCTCGTCAATAGCAGCTGAATATATGGCTTTATTTGAAGCTGTGAAAGAAGCAGTATGGATAAATTCATTGCTTAGTGGTATTATGCTTGTAATAAATAAGCCTATAGTTATCTATGAAGATATTACTAGCTGCATTTCTATCGCGATAGTTATTCAGTTTTTCGTTTTTGTGTGAACATTACTAAAACCATTTTATTTGGGTTAAATGTTAAATCGTTCTCCTTGCACCAACTCTCCACTATAGGAAGAGCTGTTCGCGTTAGGTCGCACACCATGCTGTTTTCCCCGAGACCAGTGTTGTCAGGTCAGCTGCATAACTAATTTTATGGAAGGGATTGGCATTTAATTTGCTGATTTGTTTGTTTATGACCATAATTCACAGGAGAGATGAAATGAAAGATGCTATCGAGTGAGTGCCGGCTTTTTAAACTCTATGCCTACTTAGTGCAACTTTTATACTGGCGATTGTTTGTTATTTTAAGTAATTGTTAGTGCTATTAACAAATCAAATCATTTTTTATCTAAGTGTTTATTTTGTTCATAATTTTTTACTACTTTACACCATTCTTTTATATCCGAGTTTGGATAGTCGGGATTAAAATGCAAAACTTGCGATGAATTTTTTTACTTACGGTTGACATTTGGGGCATTACTAATATTCGTAATAAAACCCCTCGTCGGTTAAGCTTAACTTTACAAAAGATTCTCTGTATTATAATAATTACGAAGTAATAACTCTTTTGGTCACTCTTCCCACCAAGGTTTCCTAAATAGTGTGCCAAGACAAGGAATCACTTAAGTCGCAATAGCTAGCAATGAACTGTTACCCATATTTCAACATTTCTTGTGATACGATCTACTGAGAACGACTATCAGATCGTTCCAAGTAGAACAACGGTAGTCTCTTCAAGACTAAGGCCTCCCACCACATTATCAGATGTGCGTCGCTAGTGTAGTTTATCGCAGTTATAACTACGCACAGTGTACGTGCAATGCGGACTAAATAGTAATAGCAAGTAACTAAGAGTATGAACGTTTGGAAATAGCTCTGGCAACTTCTTTATTACTTAATTCTACTTTTACTTATTATAACAAAATAAAATTAATGTCCAAGAGCCATAACCTTTTTAATCGTTTGTTACGTAAAAAATGTACACTACACTTCATTTTATTTTTACGAGCACTTATCTCTATGTTCAGTCTCTATTAACGACGACTAAGCTAGACCTCTACCAACTCCACACGCGCACCGCACCCACGCTGTTGACAGAGTCAAAACACAAAATAAAATGAAGTAAGCAACTCAATTTAACAGGGTCATTAATCACCCAAATAGACTCAGGTTAGTCAATTAAAATAAGCTTGGCTTACAGACTCTTCTCTCAACCAATTGAAAAGTTTACCACTTGTTACTATATGTTTTTTAAGTAAATTTACCATAGATACGACGATTTGCTTGAATAAAACCTTCACTCTCGATCCAACTACTATTTTATAGATATGCCGACAAATATATTACTTGAGCCGTTCATACACATAATGTTCAAAAATTCAAGTTAAACAAGTGGGAGTTTTCATGAAAAATTAAAACTACCTATTGTGAGTCAATTTATTTATATATATTTATGAATATTTTTAAATCAATTTGACTGTATTGTGTTTTTACTTTGAGATATATCTACGGAGAATGTTGTAGTTTTGTTGTAAGATCTGATAACAGTAAAGAACGTATTAGCGCCATTAAGAATTTGCTAAAGCCTTTGATACTGCCTTTACTCCTATTCTATTATAGAATAGTAAATAAACTAGATTAAGAAAATATTTCGAGTCAATGTAAAATCTACTAAATAACAATGCACTTTGACGGATGATTTGACGGATTTGACGTTTACAGGTATTTTCGTGACAACGTAACGGTTTCAGAATGACATATCATTGTATAAAAGTAAATATAACATCTTACCGGACATTAGCGAGGGTGTGGCGGCGACTCTTGAGGTACCGACCGTGGTACTTCTGCAGTTCGCCGATGCTGCCTTGTTCAGCCTGCATCCTGCCGTGCAATAGCTGCGGTGGCGGATCTTCGCCACCTTGCCCCTGAGGCAGAACAACTGCACCAGCGCCACGCTTGCGAGCTTTGTTATATTTTCTAGCCGCTGCGGATATACATATTTTCACTGACGACGGACTACCATAGCTACGATTTTTCCCAGAGCTTCTCGATGATGTGTAAACTGTATCTGTACTACTTATTGTGCTCTTGTACGAAGGCGTGAGAGTTGAGTCAGTGGCGTCTTCAAGAGGCCAATCTGAGTCGTCCTCTTCTTCTATTCCTGGTAAGGGTGATTGTTGGCCTATAGGACGTGGTGAACTGATCACCGGTTCGGGGATAACTGTAAATAAAATTGTTAAATATTATCATTTATATCCTAAAACAAAAACAGTTATTTTGTAGTTGTAGATGCTGATAGTGAACTCATTTGTAATGAGAGTGATAATTATTGAGGATTGTAAGAATAAAATAAGTCGTTCAAAATATTACAGGGCCAGAGTCTGAGAAATTTTATTCCATTTACATAATGCATCATATTACGAATTCAGCAGTCGTAACCCGGGGTCGTGACAGGGATTCTATTTAGCGATTATTTTTAACCTCATTGAAATCACCTTTATATTATGTCATCTATACCTATTACTTACTTATATTTTCCATCAGGTGGACTCGTTGGTCAAATTTGGCAAGTATCATGTATTGAGGTATCATTTTCTTGAGGTCTAAGACGCTGTTATTGACACCTATTATACGAAACGGTATTACGGTATTACACGGTATTACACAATCCTGCTAGTCTGGTAAATAGATATCCTTACTTGATTCAGTTATTTGTATAACAATACAGTCTGGCTCTAACGCGTAAAACATATTTTGAATGTATCAAAAATAATAATATTTTTCTGTAGGAAGTTAACATAGTTTCATGAAATAATTTTGGAGAAACATATAATGATTTTACGTGATAATTTTATGATTTTTTTTGTTTTCAAAATGGAAGTAATGAGTTATTCACAAAAAATAAGGAGAAATAAAATTATATCCTAGTATCTATACATAAATAACATAGTTATAGAATGAAATAGCAAGTTTAAGTAACAGTTCACTCAGAAGTAATCAACTGCGAAATTGGAGAGCCGGCCATAGCAACGTGACGGGCTGAACACGAAATGTCTGTTTAATTATTTACGCTTAGATATTTTCTATAAAACTGTCAAAAGCTAAGACATAAGTTACTAAGTCAAGTAACGTGGAAACATTTCCATTTGTATACAATAAAAACGAATATTTAAATTAATAGTCAATGTTGTCGAGCAATCAGCAATAAAATAGAATAATATACTCCTTTTTTATTAACTCCGCTTTAAATCTTTCCGATATAATATTTTCTTGTAATAATACATTTATTTACATAAAATTCAAATATAGAATAATTAATATCATAATGAAAAAACCCAAAACTAAAAACTTAAATTATTTTACAGTTCTACGCCACGCGCTATAGTGTCGAAAATGCTGACTAGGTTTTTTCGCTGAATCGCTCTACCTAAACTTTGAGCGCGATAAGAACGAGCCCTCTTATTACCAGCAACGACGACAAATGTCGGGTACAGTTTCTTTAGGAGTTTCACCGCAATTGGAACTCACGGAGCGATGGCCTCTATAGAAAATGGCATAAATATATAGTCACTTAAGCTGCCTCTGATGGTGCCCCTAAACCCTTGAGATGAGAGGCTGCCAAAGCGACTTTACAGTAGACCTTCGATAATCCGGCCCCTTGCTAATCCGCACCCATGCCTTAAATGAATCCATTATGGGGGGGGAGTGTTCTTCGCGAATACGTGGACAAACAGGTTGCATTTATTTCAGGCCATTGTCTCAGTTTAAGTGTGACTACGGGGTTGCAGCCTAACGGATATCCATCATTTACTTAATTTCACATGACTTTTTTATTGTTTAATATTTGATATGTAATTTGTCGGATTACAAGGTACTCTTTTTCAAAAAGTTCCGTACTACCAGGGGGCTGTGGCAGTACTCTATAGACCGACAAATTTGATAATCCGACACCGCCTTGCAAAACGTTTGTCGGATTACCGCGGATCTACTGTATTAGTAAATAGGAAATTCATAAGTAAGTAGTGAAGTGATAACCTATATAACATAAGATCTCAGTGTAGTGGGCAGATTGTGCAATTTCCATTTTCAAATCTACTATAACGATAATAGCAGTCGTAAAAATGGATAGACTTAAGGTTTCTCTACTGATAAATTTAAATCAGAGGTTTTTATAAACAATGGAGGAATTTTCAACTACGAGTATATTATAGTTACAGTAGGAATGGGTTACAATACCTCAAAATACCAGCATAAAATAGTAAGCTAATGCTTGAATAAAACTTATTTTAGAATCCCAACGTTTCGACTACTTGACAACAACCGTGGTCGCAGGAGACTAAGGAGTCACTTCCAAATATCATAGTTAACCACGTGTACCTCCAGTTTGAAATCAATAATTTTTAATCCAACCTACGTAGAGTGAGCTAAAGTTTCTTGAAATCTTGCAGTTGTATGCTTGGGTTTGGACTTAATTTTATTAATTATAGGATTTCCGACAGATGGTAGTGACCAGCCATCTTCTGTATTGAAATTAGGATATTCTTTAATTGCAATAGCCTCGCGAATCATCCTTGAAAGGAATCTGTGTTCTTTAGCAAGGATTTGTGGTCTATCAAATCTGATGTAGTGGCGGATTGAAGAAAGCAGCTTAATGCTGTTGTGTTTTGTATAGTGTGTGTAAAAACCCGGAGACCCATTTATACTGGAAACGAAGCATCTATCAGTATTATGATTATTAATGTTTTATGATAGAATAAGGGTGACAAATGAGCACATAGTCCACCTGACAGATGGTAGATGGATGCTATTTTGTCACTCTTAATTAAATTAAAATCAGAAATATAGTTAAAAAAGTGAACACACGAAATAACGTTTTAGGTAGTATATCAATCATTCAATAATTAAACGTTTTAGGTTATTTCTATTTAAATTAATAAAAAGGTAGATATTCAAAGGAACCAAGGTGATATTTTGCTTTACGCAGATTACGCAACACTTTTATATGCTTTAGGTAACCAATTAAACCATTAATACATCTGAGTCTTATTTAGAACCAATATAATTGAACATAAAATTATAAAAATAAAAAATTTAATTACATGCCTACATATAATAAATAACTTAATTACATCCCCCATAAAGTTTTTGTAACATGCGATGTTACAAAAACTTTATGGGGGAACCTATGTTCAAAAGTAAACTTTGTATACTGTAATAAATGAAATAACAACAAATTCAAAACTGTTGCATCGAAATTAAGTAATGGTAAGAAGAATTATATTTTTGAAAGCACAGGGCCGAATATCCAGCTGGAAATAGTTGGAATAGCTGTCTAGGACCTCAAAACGTGGAGATCTGATGAAAACCCGCATTCTCAAAATCGGACCAAAATCTATAACTTCCCACTTTTGAAAATTATTAATTTCTAAAGCGAGAAGTTAAAAAGAAACTCAAATGACATTCATAGATCACATTACGTACTATAATCAGAACGCTCGGTAAAAATGGGCTAAAACGGACTAGGTAAAATGTACTACATTCTTGGAACTGCAATGTTCTCGGAACTTGACGTTAGGGTTTGTCGGCTCCACCGATATAATAATCGATTCCAAGAAAGTTTTAAATTCTATATATCCTGTAATTCAAGCTACTGCTATAGAGCTTGGTGGCCTTTCAAATGTCAATTCAAAGCCGACAAGCCCGAATTTCGTTTGTACCTAACTTGAGCCTCTGTTCTTTAAGTTATGTTGGTGGCATACAAATTACTGAAATATTTACTATTGACAAGAAAATACGGTAGCTGAATGTGCTAATTCTCACATAAGGCATCAAAACATTTCTCTGGACGTATGATATTTTTGTATAAACACACACGACCATATAATAAGTTAACGAAACCGTTAATAACTCCATGATACATAAATAATATCAAAAGAAATATAATGATTAACTAATGTAAATTTTACTACAAATAAATATTACTCATAACAATTTATTCAGAATTTGTGATAAGTATTTTTTGTATTCCTTCAACATGCCAATTTCGAAATTATTTAACTTTTTTAAATCATTTAATAAAACGCGGATTTTATCGCGTTAAATTAACTTGATTTTATTTCCCGATATTTCGATGATTTATATCAGTGCATGCGTGAGCATGAGTAGACATACTATGATCTAAGATGTAGATGACTAGAGCTGGTAAATCTGGTCGTGTGGTGATGTGATTGAATGAAAAAATGCAGTTCTTAGACTAAGTGAGTAAAATATGTATTAAAAAGGGAACGGTTGAGAAGGATATAAGAATATCTAATAACTTCCAGGTAAATACAAAAATGTTATGAAAACTCGTTAAAACAGCCAGGGAAAAGGCAGAAAAGTCTATAATGAATACTATACAAGACGATAATAGCTATATTTTGAGAGATAAAGATGGAATGGCGTATTTTTTTAACTTACATATATATTTAATGACAATTTGTAAATGTTGAGGGAAAAATAGTCTACTTTTGAGTTTTTTGCCGCTTCTTCTCACAAGGATTAAGGATAGAAGCCGCTGTAAGGATTTGTTGCAGTAGCGATTTACTTTCAAAAAGTACTTTGTAAATTTTGAATGAAAATATTTGACTTTTGTTATGACCTGTGATTCATACTGGTTTTCTTATTTTTAATAAAGTACTTGTAAATAGTAGAAAATACTTGTGAATAATAACAAAACAATAACACATAAAACAGAAGCATCAAATTTTGTAGGACTCGTCGATGCGTAGCATCCAATGAATATAACAATTACATAGTTTATTATTCGGAGTGAATGAGATGTACCTACCGTGTAGTTGCGGAGTGAGAATTTCTACTACCCCATATCATCCCATGAGTTTCGTAAGAGGCGAGAGACGGAAATGAAACAGAATATTGGCAGCAGCGTCTTCCTGATAAGTACTCAAAATTATAAAAGCTCCGGTTGTCAACCCGCTTCCTAAACGTGGCAACTATAACATGTCAAATATGAGCCAATCTATAGGAGTGTGTTGTCCGTGGTAGAGCCACGCTGCAGCCACATTATGGTTGTAGCACGAATGGATAGGCTTGACCGGGGAAGGACTACGCTCTCACAGAATACTAGCGTAAAATAGCAGCTTGATGCTTCTGTGTTTCGTATGGTGAGTGTAGAGATCCGGAGACCCGTTTTACTGGAATCGAGGCATTCCATCTACGTCC